AGAGGAGGAGGAGGAAGGAGGAGGAAAAGGAGGAGGAGGAGGAGGAGGAGGAGGAGGAGGAGGAGGAGGAGGAAGAGGATGACGCCTGGATGTCGAACTTGAGGAATGCCATTCTTCTGGCGCCTCGCAGAAATCGAGATGACGCCTCGAAGAAATCGAGACTACCAGATTTTCGTCCTTGTTTGGGGCTTTGGTGGGGGGGCCAGCGTCGGGCCCAGTGCAATCCGCAAAGCGACTCGGGGCGGGAAGGCCAGCCTTACAGGGAACCGTCGGAGAGGTCTGGCGGCCCTTGCGTCGAAAACCGCTAGGTGTTTTCTGCGTCTGCGTCGTCGTCGTCGTCGCGGTCGTCGTCGTCGTCGTCGTCGTCGTCGTCGTCGTCGTCGTCGTCATCGTCGTCGTTGTCGTCGTCGCCGTCACCGTCGTCGTCGTCGCCGTCGTCGTCGTCGTCGTCGTCGTCGCCGTCGTCGTCGTCGTCGTCGTCGTCGTCGTCGTCGTCGTCGTCGTCGTCGTCGTCGTCGCGGTCGTCGGCGTCGTCGTGCCCCTGCACGTGGGGCCGCCAGGGCGCGGACGTAGCCGCAGGTCGGCGGCCCCCCCGGAGGCCGCAGTGCCTGCCCCCCCGCGGGCGGTCCACGGGGGAGGCCCGCGCCGGTGCGCCTGCGTCTGCGCGCGCGGACGCGCTGCCGAGGCCGCCTGGGGGCCGCGGTGGCCTGGGCGTGCCTGGCCGCGCGGCCCCGAGGCGCCGTCGCCGCCGCCGCCGCCGCCGTCGCCGTTCGCCGCCGCCGCCGCCGCCGTTGCGCCGCCGCCGCCGCCGCCGTTGCGCCGCCGTCATCGCTGTCGCTGTCGTCTTCGTCTTCGTCTTCGTCGTCGTCGCCGTCGTCGTCGTCGTCGTCGCCGTCGTCGTCGTCGTCGTCGTCGTCGTCGTCGTCGTCGCCGCCGCCGCCGCCGCCGCCGCCGCCGCCGTCGTCCTCGTCGTCGTCGTCGTCGTCGTCGTCGTCGTCGTCGCTGTCGTCGTCGCTTTGGCCGCCGTCGTCACCGCCGCTGTCGCCGTCGCCGTCTTCGGCAATGGAGGAGGGAACAGGGAGGGGACCCCAGAGCTCCCGACTTCTTTCGAGGTCATGACGAGCGCCCTTGCTGTTGCTGTTGAAGTGCCATTTCTGAAGAATAAGTTCGCAGGGACGCACCAAATCCTTTCTACACATACGGCGACTATAATCAGAAACGCTTTGTTCCAAACGAACGCATGCACGTGTGCGAGGTTTTGGCTGTGTCTGCATATTCTCCCATTTCGCCGTGCCTCCCAGGAGCCCACGAAAGTGGCGACAGCTGCGCACTTCGCCGACCTCCACGGAGCCGCGAGGTCTCGGCTGGGTCTGCGTACTCCCTCTCTCCACCGTGCCTCCCAGGAGCCCACGAAAGTGGCGACAGTTGTGCGTTTCGCAGCGCGCCAGGGAGTCGCGTGGTCTCGGCTGGGTCTGCGTACTCCCCCACTCCGCCGTGCTTCCCAGGAGCCCACGACAGCGGCGATAGTTGCGCATTTCGCAGCCCCCTAAGGGAGCCGCGAGGCCTCGGCTGGGTCTGCGTACTCGCGAACTCCGCCGTGCATCCCAGGAGCCCACACGATAGTGGCCACAGTTACGCACTTCGCAGCGCCCCATGTCTCGACTGCGTCTGCGTACTCCCCCAATCCGCCGTGCATCCCAAGAGCTCAAAACATCGGCGCCAGTTGCGCACTTTGGAGCTCCCCTGGGAGCCGCGAGGGGGAGGAGGAGGAGGAGGGAAGAGGAGGAGGAGGAGGAGGAGGAGGAGGGAGGAGGAGGAGGAGGAGGAGGAGGAGGAGGAGGAGGTGGAGGGGAGGAGGAGGAGGAGGAGGAGGAAAGGAGAGGAGGAAGGAGGTTGTAGGAGGAGGAGAGGAGGAGGAAGAGGAGGAGGAGGCGGAGGGGAGGAGGAGGGGGAGGAGGAGGAGGAGGAGTTGGAGGGAGGAGGCGGGGGAGGAGGTTGAGTGGAGAGAGGTTGAGAAGGGAGGAGGAGGAGGAGGAGGGGAGGAGTGGAGGAGGAGGAGGAGGGGAGAGGGGAGGAGGGGGAGGATGGCGGAGGTGGAGGAGTTTGGGATAGGAGGAGGCAGGTGGAGGCGGAGGCGGAAGGCGGAGGCGGAGGAGGAGGAGGAGGAGGAGGAGGAGGTGGTGGGTTGGAGGAGGTGGAAATGTCAGGTGGAGGTGGAGGAGGAGGAGAGGTGGAGGAGGAGGAGGAGGAGGAGGAGGAGGAGGAGGAGGAGGAGGTGAAGGATTTGGAGGAGGAGGGGAGGAGGAGAGGAGGAGAGGAGGAGGAGGTGGACTCAGTGGAGAGGAGGGCGATGGATGATGATGATGAGGAGGAGGCGGGAAGGAAGGAAGGAGTGGAGACCACAGTTTTCTCTTTTTAAAACCAGAGCCGGACACAGGAGGGTTGGGAATCATTGTTGACCCCCCTCTGGTAATCATTGCAGTTTTCAATTGAATGCTTACCTCCACGCTCACATTCCATTTTTATCAGGGAAAGTGTTGAGGCTCAAAGTAGGCTTCTGACCCCCGAACTACAACCACGGCTTTCGCTTGATACGTCTTCGCAATTTATGGAAGAGCCCCGCTCCCGCACGAGAATTCCCTGTGATTTTTCCACGTCTTGCGCTCTCGCGTTGGACTTCCTGGCATTTTTTTCAGGCGCCGCGTTCTCGACACTCAGGAGTCACGCTCTCGTCCAAAACTTCCTCATCAATCACTTTGGTAATCGCGCTCTCGCGCGGGACTTTTTACACAATGTACTGAGGAATCGCGCTCTCGCTCAGGACTTCATTGCAAACAATCTTCGCGCCGCGCTCTGGACGCCTAGGAATCGCGCTCTCGCCCGAGACTCTATAAAAGTTTACTCAGGACTCGTGCTCGCCCGAGGCTTCTTTGCAATGTGCAAAGTTCGCTTCAGTGCGTCGCCCGCCCGTCCCTCCGGTCAGGGCCCGCCCGCCCAACCTTCCCGTCAGAGTCCGCCCGCCCGCCCCGCCCGCTATTCTGGATGGGGCAGTCATCGCCCCCCCCCTCGGATCCGCTCGGGGGGGGGGGGTTAGGCACGTGCTGTCGGAACGAGTGGAGGGAGGGTTGGAGGAAGAGGAGGAGGACGAGGAGGGGGAGGAGGACGGAGGAGGGCGGGATCGGGCAAGCTCAGTCGGACGGTTAATCGCCCTCCCTTTGCCGAATACCCCATCCAGAGCAGGGTCCGCCCGTGCGCCTGCGTGAGATCCGCCCGCCCGCTGAAGTGTGGCGCCCAGCCCGCCCGCCAGGGCCTCTGCCCGCCCGACGTGCCCGTCAGGGGCCCGCCCGCCCGCGCCGCCCGTCGGGATCCGCCCGCCCGACCTGCCCGTCGGATTCTGCCGCCGACCTGCCCGTAAGGAATAGTCGCGTCCTCGTGCTTGGATGTTCTCCTCGCCACGTTATTGCCTCATCCTCCTCCTCTTCCTGCCCTCCTCCTCCTCATTCATCCGCCTCCTTCCTCCGTGACGGCCCCTTGCCCCGCCCGCTCCTCGGCCCCCCCCCCCCCACACCACCCCCCCCTCCCTCTCCCTTCCGCCGCGCCGTCGCCCGCCCGACCCGCCCGTTCGGGTCCGCCCGCCATGCCCGCTGGCTACAGTGGGGGCCCGTGCCCAGAAACAGCCTGCTTGCCTCCCAGGTGCCCTGGGGTTTCTTGGTTTTCGATGGTTTTGCTATGGAAGGCGTGACGCTCCCACACCAGAAATCCACGGACGTCCTGGGGTCGCAGGGTTGGGTTTCTTGTGGAAGGCTTCTTGTGGACTGGCCTCCACTGTAGGTCTGGCCTGTCCTCCCACAGGCAATCTTTGGGATGTAGAGTGAAACATGTTCCGCGAAGCATTCCCCAGTTGCCAAAAGCAGGCTGAAACAGACAATCATCCCCAGACTATTTTTCTTCGACCACCTTTGAGGGTTCCTCCTGCATCAGGAGGGACAGAAACCCACGGACAAAATATGAATCGTCGACTCCCAGAACAGATGGGAAGATATGGGAAGTGGGGGGGGAGACAAAAACACAGAAAATAGGGGAAAGCATGTGGAATCTTGTTATCTGTGTAAGAACGGTTTTTTGAAGGCAGATCTGCCTTCAAAAGAACCGTTCTTTGAAGGCAGATCTACCTTCAAAAAACCGTTCTTTTGAAGGCAGATCTGCCTTCAAAAAACCGTTCTTACAGAGTAGACCTGTGTATTTATTTGTGTGTCCCAGGGCCCCTTCACTGTAGGGGGACATGGCCGACTGGAGGCCAGCGGCGCGCGGGGGCCTCACCCGGCGGCCGGGCCACAGCGGCCAGCGGCCTGGCCGCGGCCGCAGCTGCCTCGGGTGGCACGCGCGAGCCAGCGGCGGCGACGAGGGCCAGCCGCCCGGGGGCGGGCAGCACTCGTGTTCGCCGGGGAGCCTCGCCGAAGACGTGGCCGGGAGCCTCGAGACGGGGGTCCATACAAACGGGGCTCCTCCTCCTCCTCCTCCTCCTCCTCCTCCTTCATCCTCCTTCCTCCTCCTACTTCCTATATATCCTCCTCCTCCTTCCCATTGCTCCTTCCTCTTTATCCTTCTTCCTCCTCATCTCACCACCCTCCGTCCTCCTCCCCTCTCTCATCCTCCTCCTCCTCCTCCTCCTCCTCCTCCTCCTGCTCCTCCTCTTCCTCCTCCTCCTCCTCCTCCTCCGGTCAATGCAAACGGGGGTCAGCCAGAGTGCCAGATCTCGCAGGATCCTGCAGGTGCAGGGTCGCACTGGCCTGGTTCTGGGTGCAGGATCCTGCAGGATCTTGCAGGATCCTTCGCGCTGATCCGGGTTTGGGTGCCGGATTTTGCAGGATCGTGCAGGATTTTGCAAGGCGTGATTGACACGGGTTTGGATTGACCCGGGTCAGCAGATCCCCGAACGTGGAGCATCGGCCCCACTGGATAATTACGTGTACGGCTCCCCCCTCCCCAGACTCAGGAGGGAAAGAAACACACAGGCACAATTAATCGATCACTCCCAGGAAAATGTGGGAAAATATGGGAAGTGGGGGGGAAGACAGAAACCCAGAAAATATGGGACAACAGAGGGAAGCTTTTTGCTTGTGTGTATTTCTTCGTGTGTCCCAGGGCCCCTTCTCGGACATGCGCCGATCTCATTTCTCCAGTCCGCGGCCCCAGAGGCCCCGATCCCCTCCCTGGGGGTGGTCTTTCGCCCCGGAGCCACTTTTGCTGCTCCCCGGGCCCGATAACAGGCCCCAGCGGCCGAACTCCAGGGGGCACCGCCGGACTGCAAAAAAATCACCTCCTCGGACCTCCGAGTTCCTTTTCGGAGGCTGACAGGCCCCCTGCCTGGAGGGTTTCTCCGAAGGGCTTAGGCGACCCGTCCTCCTCCTCCTGCTCCGCCTCCTCCTCTTCCTCCTCCTCCTCCTCCTACTCATCTCCTCCTCCATCATCCTCTCCTTCCCCCTCCCCCTCTTCCTCCTCCTCCTCCTCCTCCTCCGCCTCCTCCTCCTCCTCCTCCTCCTCCTCCTCCTCCTCCTCCTCCTCCTCCTCCTCGGGTCGCCTACGGCCCCGGGGGAAACCGTGCACCCCTACCCTGACACGTCGATCAGCGAACTGGCCGCTTTCGGTTCGCGAGAGGGCGTCGCGGCCGCCACTTTGGTGGGTCCCAGGTCCGCCGGTTTCGGCCCTGGGCCGTTTTCACTCAGGGGTGGTTTGCCAAAGGGAGGTTTGTCCACCGCCGATCTTTGCTCCCATCGTCGCCTCCGAGCGAGGAGGGCCGCGAGAGTCAGGAAGGGACAAAAACACAGACAGAATTCATCGTCGAATCCCAGGAAGATGTGGGAAAACATGGGAAGTGGGGGGGGGGAAGGCGTAAACCCCAAAACATGTGGGAAAACAGGGGGAATATTCTTGTGTGTGTGTGTGTGTATTTCTTCGTGTGTATTTCTTCGTGTGAAAAACATGGGAAAACATGGGAAAACATGGGAAAACGTGTGTATTTCCTCGTGTGTCCTGGGGCCCCTCCCAGAGAGGCGCGCCGTCGGCGCCGGAGGGGGGGGGGGGGCGGGGGGCTCCCGACGGGGCGGCCCGCGGCCCCCCGCGGCGCCCGCGGCCGAGGCGCCGCAGCGTGGGCGAAGGAGGCGCGGCGCGGCTGCGGCTGCTGCTCGCGCGGCGACGACGACGACGGCGGGCGGCGGCGGCGACGGCGACGACGACGACGACGGCGGCGGCGGCGGCGGCGGCGGCGACGGCGGCGGCGGCGGCGGCGGCGGCGGCGACGCCGGCGGCGAGGGCAACGGCGGCGACGGCGGCTGCGACGGAGGCGGCGAGGGCAACAGCGGTGGCGGCGACGACGCCGTCGGCAAGGGCGACGACGGCGACGGCGATGGTGGCTACCATCATCGTCAACATGTATGCCATACGTCAGATCTCCGCTCGAATGGTTCGACTGCATCATGATCGCCAGTAGCTTCCCCTTAAACATATTCTTGCGACGACCGAGCCTGCGACTGGTCTTCACGCGCAGACTTCTTGCTCGTTCACTTCGTTGTTGAACGAACACCTCGTAGAGTTGACGCAACCTCCTAAGACTCATATGATTTGTTCGATGCAAGCCTCCGACATTCAATTCTCGAGTTTTACGTAACGCGCGCCCATGTCGCCTCCACGGGTGGAACACGACGGGGGTCGCGAAGGTGATGGAAGAAGGACAACCATGGAGGTGATGACCGGGAATGACATGTAAGCCACCGTGTAGTTTTGGGGACGTACATTCTCAACTTAACTAAGCCCATCATTTGTTCAGTCACGTCCTGTCCGCCGCAAAACACGTTTGGGCTGCGCTCCCCATGACCAGATCCGATTTCGCCTTGCGGGTGTTCACATGGACCGTCTATGATGGCAGCGAAATGTTTTCCAGGATCACCTCATAGCGATTCATAAGCTCCTTAGTCGTGAGTTTTGCGGAGTCCACTTTGACTGATATCTTTTTCGTGCCGGAAAGCGCGCGCGTGGGTGTACCAGTAGTCATAACCACCAGGCAAGCGATCCTTCGACATGTAAGTGTCCACAACACGGGTACGCGTCCACGACATGCAGTCTACCCAGCTGCCGACCACCATGCTGTGAAGTGCTGCAGGTGCCAGCAGATGATCTAACCGATGCAGACTTCCACTCGAACGTGTGGGTGCACGGCCTCCTTCGTGCTCTTGGAAGGCGTTCTCCACATACAGTTCGTGATTAGAAGAGATTTGCCGAAGCAGTGCTCCAGGATGATCGCCACACTCGTTGGTGCAATAGGTAGGGTGGTAGCCGCCAACACCAGAACCATGCACGTTGAAGCCAAGTGTCGCAGTCATGCTCCCAAGTACCAGAGAATGAGGCCACCGTTGGTAACATTGCTCGATATTCGACCACCGTTCTTTGTAATCGAGGGTTGCAGGACCAACATTGGGAGCATGGACGGCATAGATAAACTCCTCCTACCAGAATATTCGTAATGGCGCCACTAGAGGCCGTTGATCAATTCGAAGCAACCGTACGTCGACTTTGGTGAAGGTCTTGCTACCCTTAGGCCCACTGCAGCAGGGCTTGATTTCTGCGGATGCGTGATCTACACACTTGCAGCCCAGAGTCCCTCTCCTGCTCCTCTCCCCTTCTTTTCTCTGCCCCAGGAGCGTTTTCACCAGAGAAGAGCTTGGTTATTGCTGCCCGCCTCTATCCGTGCGACCATTTAATAGTTGTTGATTCTATGTGTTTGGCCTTTATTGTTGACAGGCAGTTTGCGCTGCTCCGGATTAGTTACCTCCTTTATTGAGTGTAAACGGCGGCTGGGGCGAGGCGGCTGCACCGACGCACTGCCGCCAGGCGCCGTCCGCCGTCGGCCAGCCGTCCGTTGTAAGTCATGGGGAGGAGGGGAGGAGGAGGAGGAGGAGGAGGAGGAGGAGAGGAGGAGGAGAGGAGGAGTGGTGAGGAGGAGGAGGAGGAGGAGGTTAGGAGGAGGAGGCGGAGGAGGGGATGAAGCGTGACGACCCTGGAGGAGGTGAGGGAGGTGGGAGGAGGAGGTGGTGGAGGAGGAGGAGGAGGAGGAGGAGGAGGAGGAGGATCAGGAGGTTCGACGCCCACCCACGTCCAAATACAAATCCTCTCTCTTCGCCTCGCTTCCCCTCACTCGTGGGCAGGGCCACCAGCGCATCGCCCGCGTGGCCAGCGAGCTGATCAAGGGGGTGAAGCGCCAGAAGGTCGCTAGCCTCCTCCAGCTCCAGCTCCTCCTCCTCCTTCTCCTCTTCCTCCCTCTATCCTCCTTCTTCTGATCCTCCTACTTCTGATCCTCCTCCTCCTCCTCTCGATGCTGATGCTGATGCTGATGATGACGATGATGCTGCTGATGATGATGATGATGATGATGATGATGATGATGATGATGATGATGATGTTGATGATGATGATGATTATTATGCTGATGGTGATAATGGTGGTGATGATGGTGGTGATGATGATGTTAAGTATGATTTTAATAATGCTGCTTCTGATGATGATTACATGATGATGCTGATGATGTTGGTGATGTTGGTGATGTTCATGCTGATGCTGATACTGATGCTGCTGCTGATGATGATTCTGATGATGATGCTAATGCTGATCTTGCTGATGATGATGAGGATGGGGATGATGATCAGGATGAGGATGAGGATGCAGATGATGATGCTGCTGCTGATGATGATATGATGATGCTGATATCGATGCTGATGCTGATGATGATGGTTCTGCTGATCATGCTGATGCTGATGATGACCATGCTGATGCTGATTATGATGATGATGAGGATGATGAGGATGATGAGGATGATGATAATGAAGAAAAACATAGTAAGAATGAGCCGACGATCATGACGATCATGAGGACGAGGATGAGGAGGAGGAGGCGGCGGAGGAGGAGGATGCGGAGGAGGAGGGGGAGGAGGAGGAGGAGGGAGGAGGAGCGAGGGAGGCGGGGAGGAGGAGGAGAGGTGGAGGAGCAAGGAGGAGAAAAGGGGGGAGTGGGGAGGTATGGGTGTGGACGGTCATCCCATCCGGAGAGGTCAACGAGCTGCTATCAGGGAGCCTGATAGGAATTCAGCCGACTGTCGGGCACCCCGCCCTGCCGCCATAGGGGCTGAGGGGGGGCTGCGGAGAGACGCACCCTACTCTCATCCTAAGCCTCATCTCCTCCTCCTCCTCTTGCGTTGCGACAGAACCGCTACGGGATTTTTTGGGCCTCGCCCCTTTTCGGCCTCCGCGGGCCCTCGCCTGTCCCTGGGACCGTCAAGGGCCAGCCACGACGAGGCCTTTTGGCCCGCCCTACCGACGCCTAGAGAGGCTTGGTTTTGGTTGGGTGTACCCCTCTCCGAATTTCCGCGCGCTTTGCCGTCCTTTTCTATGCCCTTGCGGGCGGAAGACAGTGCGCCGCTGCCCGTGGCCCTTCTTCCACCATACTGTAGCGTCCCTGTTGCTCGCCTGTGATGCCTGCTGTCTTCCTCGCTGGAGCCACGTCGCTTAAGTTGGGGACTTCTACAGTCAGCCCGCATATCAAGGATGCTCAACCTTCCAAAGGGTACCCTTGCATCCTTGCCTCCTCGGCCCATCCTTGGCCACTTTCGTTGGCCGCGTCCCGCTCGAAAAACTTCGAGGTGGCCTTCCAAGGCCCTTGCATCCCTATCGTGCGTCCTTATGATACGGGTTGCTGTATACTCTATCCTGGTGGCAGGACGCACCAGCTCCACGGATCTATGTGTGGGCAACGGCCACGTGAGGAGCTGCAGGAGGAGGACGGGGACCATAGCTACCCAGACATCCGGCGTCTCGTTTTTGTTCGACACACAGGCCACCGACCTCCCGACCACTTCCCTGAGACTGGTTTTTCATCCCGAGTCGTTTTCGACGGTCCCGCGTCCCGGCGAGGGCCCCGGGAGGCCAAAAACGGCGAAAACCCCCCGCCTGGCTTTTTTTCGAGACGCCCGACGTCTGGGTAATCGAGGACGTATCACCAGTGCTGCGACACGCCCTGACGCCCGCCCCCGCGCATGTTTTTTTTTGTTCTCCCTGCGCGAGGCGCCGCCCCGCCTTTGAAAGACGAGCGCTCCACGGCCCGCGATTCGGGCGCGAGCCTTGTTTCGCCGGCCGCCGCATGCAGAAGCAGGAGCAGGAGCAGGATGAGGAGCAGGATGATGATGATGAGGAGGAGGAGGAGGAGGAGGAGGAAGAGGAGGAGGAGGAGGAGGAGGAGGAGGAGGAGGAGGAGGAGGGGTGGGATGGTGGTTTGGAGGGATGGTGGAGGGGGCGAGGCAGGGAGGGAGGGGATGAGGATGAGGATGAGGATGGGATGAGGATGAGGGGATGATGATGATGATGAGGCTATGATGAGGTTGATGTGATCGATGACGTTGATGTTGATTGATGCTGATGATGAATGTTCATGAATGTGGATGATGTGATGATGATGATGATGATGATGACGATGATGATGTTGTGTGTTGATGCTGTTGCTGATGCTGATGTGATGCTGATGATGAGGATGATGATGATGATGATGATTGCTGCTGCTCTGCTGCTGCTGCAGATGATGTCTGGATGAGGACGAGGGATGAGGATGAGGATGAGGAAGATGAGGATGAGGATGAGGATGAGATGAGAGATGAGGAAGAGGATGAAGGGATGAGGATGGAGGATGCGGATGCGGATGCGGATTGCGAGCTAGAGGCGGATGAGATGAGGTTGAGGAAGGATGTGGAATGAGGATGAGGATGAGGTTGGGATGAGGAGGAGGATGATGTGAGAGGAGGAGGAGGAGGAGGAGGAGGGGAGGAGGGAGGAGGGTGGGATTGGGAGGGGAGGGAGGGAGAGGGAGGGAGGTGAAAGCGGGAGGGAGGGAGGGAGGAGGAGGGAGGGAGGGTTGATGGGTGGAGGAGGCCGAGGAGAGTCATGAGGAACACGACAGGATGGGCTTCAGGTCCCAAGGCTGTGCCCAGCCAGGCACTCGCGGAAGTGCGGCACACTTTTTCTTTTTGGTCTTACAGCTAGGAGGAGGAGGAGAAGAAGGAGGAGGAGGCATCATTCGGCGGCGAGCGAGGGGGGGGGGGGGAGTGAGAAGGAAGAGGCCTTATCAGAAGGCGGCGCGGGCTTTCGGAAGGCCGCGCCTTGAGAGGTGGTTTCCCGTGTCTTCGGGGAGGCTCTGCAGACTTCTAATAAGACTGGGGACTTCCGAGATCTTTCTGAGACGGCCCACCCTTCTCACTTCCCCCTCGCTCGCCGCCGAAAACCGAGTCTCGAGCGAGAGCCTCACTTTTGAAAGCGGCCGTCCTCCACCCGTGAAGCTGTTGCGCAGTTTTGCGCCAGTGGTTCTGCTGCTGTGGGACGTCTCGGTGGAAAACCCTAGTTTGGAGCTTTTAGGCCGAATGTGCGCGACGCTGAGGCGAGAGCCACATTTTGGAGACCAACAACCATCCATCCGTGCACCCGCTTTAACTTGTTTACGCTTCGCGAATCCCGACCAGCATATTCATGAGCCCTGCCCATGAGAGCTGACGGGAAAAGGGACTAAGAGACACACACACACACACGTATGTGTGTATGTATGTGAGCATGCATGCCTGCATGCATGTATGTATGTAGATAGATAGGTAGGTAGGTATGCATGCATGCATGTATGCATGTATGTATGCATGCATGCATCCATGCACATATAGGTACATGTATATATATGTATGTATACACAGATGTATATATACATATATATATGTATATGTATATGTATCTGTATTTTTTGATACATATGTATATGTTTATGTATAATTCATATGTATATGTATATTCATATGTATATGTCTATGTGCATGTATATGTGCATGCAAGCATCTATGTTTACGCATACGTACATGTATATGTATATGTATACGTACATGTTTGCGTACACATATATATGTATATGCACATGTATATGTATATAGTATATATATATGTTTATGTATATGTTTATGTATATGTATATGTATATGCACCTGTATACAAACACGTATATATATGTATATATGTATATATGTATCC